TCTGAGAGGAGGTTGTATAGAAATAAAAGATTTCAAATAGAATTGAGAAAGTCAACCCAGAGCAATACTTTCAAATATGCCAAAGCAGCAGAAGAAGGCACAGGTTCAGAGTTGCAACGGGCAATTTCAGGACAGACACCAGGACGTATTTCTTTTCCCAGAGATAATTAACAACTAGGATTGCTTACCAGAAAGGCTGATTGAGGCCTGGGTGCTGAACTCATTTATTAAAGGTCATTTAAGAAATGGTTCAATGTTGTAATGGGAGGAAGTTTGGGTGGGTATTCTGGAATTATGAGATCCAAAGCACCTTGATCAGAATCTCTCGTTTGATGAGTTGTGAGTCCATTTGCAAGGGAGAGAAAGGAAGGCTTTGGGTTGGGATATGCCTTGTGTACAGGGGGACCGGGGCATTCAAGTGTGTGCATACTCTGCCATATTTGAAGATAATTTATTACTTTTCAGCAGAACAACTATTTAGATCTTAGAAGCTAAGCTCTGACCTCGGGTAGGAGAAACAAGCTGGTTACAGAGTGTTATTTGGCACTCTAGCTAGTTTGCTGCTCACTTTGTTGCAGGCTGATAGCTGCTCACTTTGTTGCAGGCCGGGAACTTTGTGGAGAGATGTTTGTTCTTTTGGTGGAGAAAGCAGAGGTGAAAAAACAGTGAGAATTAAAGATGTAACATGACATTTTCATTCTTGAAGCTGTTGCACGCATCTTTTGGAAAAATATTATTTGTTATTCATAACGAGTTCTATATTGCAATTTTTAGTTCAGTGTGTTTTCCGGGGCAGAGGTGGCACAGAAATGTATAGTTGAGGGTTGAGATAGAACCTGTAGTTGAAAATCATTGGGGAGGTAGGAATGCCAAGCAGTTTAGTAGTGCTCAGATGTAAATACAGTCAAACAACCATTCAGGGAACTGAGCTAAAGTGGCCTTTATATATAAGGGTAAGACTTTGGTGTGCAGGCTGTTCCAGGCTGGTTGCTAACTGGAGATAGTTGTTTGAACATGTTTGATCATAATTGCACTAATACAGTGTATTAGTATTAATTTGTTTGTTTCCATTTATTATGAACTGCACAATTTAATCCATATTTATTCTAGTTTGCATTAGTCCAGCAAGCTGTACTTGACTGATGGGTATTAGAATAGTTTGAATGTTTATTGAATTTCATTGTGTGTTGATTCAACTTGTGTATTTGCATGAGGTTGCAATAAATGTTCTATCAAAAAAGTTATATCCACTCACTGTTAGTACCATGCAAACACTCCAGTGTCCATTAACTTTCCCAGATATGTTAATATGCAAAAGCCTTTTCGAAAAAAAAAGTTCTGTTAATTTCCTCAATTACATCAAAACATTTACATAGTGAGATGACATAACAGAGGTTTCAATAAATGTATTGCTCAGTAATATGTGCATTACTTTTAAATGCTTCAAACTAATAGATGGAAATTCAGGTGCACCAGAGAGAGAGAGAGAGAGAGCATGTGACTTGTATCTAGGTCTCTGATTGTTTAACTAAAATACTCTGAAGTTTATGATGCAGTGTTTTTTTTAAAAAAAACATTTTGCTGAGTAAGGTTTTATTTGCTGGTACATTGTGCACTTTTTAGTCCTTGATGCAGAATGAGAACAGTGAAACTGGGCTGTGGGCCAGCAAGGTTGACTCTGACTCAATTGTAATAAAACTTGATTTTGCTTTTTTATGTTTATGTTCAGGAGATTTGTAGTGTAAGTGTAAAAAACTGAAGCCATTAGGATTGAGGAAATTGCATTATTCAAAAACGCTGTGTATTGTATAATTTACAGTTAGGCTTTTTTGTATTCCTGAATTTTTTTGAACTCCTTCTTGAAATGTTTGTACTGCTGGTAAGGCAATAACTTTTTGCCTATCCCTGATTCCCCTGCAGTGATAGTTTTCTGCACATGAGACCTCTCAATGACCATGATAAGGCGTGAAATCAAATGCAAGGATTATTATTATTATCTCCCCAGTTTTATTGAATCTGTAAGTTTTGAGCACTCTTCTGTTTAAAAGTGGTGTAATGTTTCCAGAAAAGTCCCTTACCAGTGGAGCTTCTTAACTGTTCTACTCTGGTAAAATATTGGTTTGGCTAAGAATTAATCAATATTGGCACCCGTTTATATGTGAGCTTCAAAAACGAAATACTTTTTAAAAAAAAAAGTTTTCAGACTTGTCAATTCCTTTCATTATTTTAGTTGAAACAATTATCTTTTCAACTAAAATAATAAAAGGAATTGACAAGTTAGATAGTGGAAGGCTCTTCTCCTTGGTAGAGGGTTCTGCACAGACACATGGGTAGTAGTTAGTAAAGGAGATGATGAAAGGGAGAGGCATTGGGATTTAAAAATCTGCCAAGATCTAATAAACTGGCAGAACAGTCTTGATGGACTGAGTGACCTTATCCTGTTCCTGTTTTCCTGTGTTTCCCAAAACATCTTAGGTCAGTTTGTTCCCGCCTACGCACACACACACACACACACATCACACAAACACCTTGCCCCATCCTGCTTAAACTCTCTGATTCCCTTCAAGCTGGCTCGACTGATCACCTCCTTCTTGAGTAAGTTAGATAATAACAATAATCCTTGCATTTAATATAATGCCTTATCATATCTTCAAAATGTCTCAAAGTGCTTCACAGAATATACTGTAAAGTTATTTGACTGTATATTTTGTGGGCGAAACAATAAATATCTACCTAACTATTCTATGGTGTAATGTAGTAGGGTCACCCACAGCAGCACTACTTTAAATATGAAATGAAAATCTGCTTTTACATTTGCCTACTAGTTGTATGAAAAATGAGTGGGCCAGTGAACTGGTGATTATTAGTGAGGCAATGGCATCACCTCATAAAACTCAGCAACTTGCAAATAGATTTTTATTTCGTACAAAATAGACATTGTTTGAACTATTGCTTGCACTAAGTATAAGTGACACTAAGTGCTTTGCAAACACAGCTCCTGTAAGTTACCATTACCTAAAAGTGTATGTGGAGACATGGTAAAGGCTTTAATTTTCAAAAGTGCTTAGTTGTACAATATTACATCCATTTAACCCAATTTAGTTCATTTTGCTACCTGTTGTTTTTAAGCTTTTGCTTTCAGATTATTAGAGATCTGTCTTTTTTTTCTTAAAAATGGTTTTGAAACCTCCTCTGCTTTTAGAAGGTAAAGCTTAAGAGCTTCTACAATAATAGACTTGGAAGATTCTGAGAGCAGCTGTCTCATAAATTAATTATTAGTGACAAGTTTATATTGTATAAATCTAAATGAGTTGAGAGTATGGTCCATTACCAGCTAACTACACGAGGTATTTGTCATTTTACACTCTTCAGTTATTTTTTAGTGAAGTGTTAAAAATGTAAGACTTTTCTCTTGGATGACATTGAGAGATGCTGTCTGATTTTAAGAGAGGTAAAGGCCCATATAAATGTTTCACTAAACCTAAGTGTTACTCATTTGACAGTTATGTGCACTGTCATTCCACGGGCTATTTACTTATCGCAATAAACAGATGAAATATGTCAACCACTGTGGTGTCCTTTCAATGCATCGGGCTTTTTGGACCCTGCAATTTTGCTCCTTGTAAATGTTTTGCACAGAGATGTTCTGCTATCCTCATACACTATAGAGCAACCTGGTGACTCTTTGGCCAGCTCCTGCATAGGAACAGAGATTGCAAAGCAGGACTGCTAAGGGAATAATGTATGAAGGGATCAGAATAAACATTTCTAGAGAGAATTTATGACTATAAAAATATCAATGTATTTAACATTTTAATAGTTCTCATATATAACTGCAAGGCTATTTGTCATGAAAGTGATAGTTTTCATTTATCAAAAGTTTGTTTTTAACAAAAGTACATTATGGGTTCAAGCGCTCTGGGACGCTACCCCTTGAAAAGGCCGCTATATAAATGCAAGTTGTTGGTAAGATATGCGGCGTCCTGTACCTTAGTGTTTCGAGCACTTGGCTCACAAGCGAGAAGACCTAGGTCGATTCCCGGCAGGGCGAAACATTGGGCAAATGTTCTTACTCCACTCGTCTCTGTTTACCTAGCACTAAGGAGGAGCCTGGTCCTTAATCAATTGGCGGATCGCTTTCCAGGGGCTAATAATCCCTTCAAAATTAATAATAATAATAATTTGGTCACTCAATCCATGACTGTTTGTGGGACACTGCTGTGCTGAATTGGCTGCTGTGTTTGTCACAAAAATATAGTCAATTCACTTTACAGTATCTTCTGTGAGATGTCTCGAAGACGTGATAAGGCACTGTATCAAATGTACAGATTATTATTATTTCCATCTCCATTGGCAAAAATCTGAAACTGAGATTTGCTTTGAAAAATTTTGTTTGAAAGCACAAAGGGTAACATTTAGGGCAATTGGTAAATGTGTCGGTTTATGCTTAATTTTAAACTAGTTTCTTTGGAAAATATTTTGTACAATCAGATTATTTAGAGCAGTGCTACGGTGCAATTTTCATGGATTGGTAAACTTGTTCACCTTAGTTTGGGATTCACAGCAAATGGGTGTAGAGAAAATGACTACGAAGGCTAAAATGCTGGACTCATTTAACTCTTGATGTTTTGATGTCGTTTTTTTGGAAGAATTAGGTCAAATGGGCCTTCTTCATCTGAACTAATCTTGTGAATATTCTTCCATTTGTTGCATAAAAAATAGGCAGAATTGACTGACTACGCTTGATTCTATTCAAGAGACAAACATAAAAGTAGAGATAAGAGTATTATGAACTAACAAAAATGGTCTAGTTCTAGTAATTATAAATGCATAATTATTTACTGTAACTGGTTTGGAGAAACCAAAGTAACACATAATATAACTTACCTGATAATACCAAACAAACATGAATTGAAGTGATATAGAACAAGATTTCTTTCTTTAAACTATGTGCTTCTGCCTGAACTTATGTAAATGTTTGTTTCCACCTCTACCTACAGGTCACTACTCCAGTATTTGTTCCTTCAAAATCGTTCGAACTGCTCCATCGTATGTCTGGTAAAGGCCTTGGGGCACAGTATCATTTTCCACGTCAGCCATGCATTTACAGCTCAAAAATGGTGTCTGTTCAGATCACGCTAACTAACACCTCTGACAAAGAAATAACCAACATCGAAATAGGAGAACGAAAACGCACCAGGAATGCAGATCCACGACTTCCACAAGCTAGGTACTGAAAAATAGCAAGTAATTCAAACGTAATTTTTTTTTTTTTCTTCATTTTTCTGTTCCAAATATGAATTGTTTTCTAAACTTCATTCCTGGCAGTTTCTCACGCTTGCTGATTTCTGCATTTGTTGACTCGACCTTATTTTTTCTCCCTCGAAAGAATCTCCTTGCTCCACTAAGTAGCTCCTTGTTTATCGTCAATAGACTTTCCCCTCTCTCCCCCCTCCACACCCTGGTCCATCCCCATTAATTTTTTTCTTTGCTCCTGTCCAGCACATATAATTTGCGTTTTGTATATCTATTGTACACTTTTTTTTGTCTCAAGCTTGCTCTTCAATAGCTAATTTATATGGATAAATAATTGTGTGTATATAGATATATAATACAGTTAAACTCACATATGTCATATCTTTGTAAATCGTATAATCACTTGAGTAGTACATTCACCCAAGTCCAATTCAGTTCGTATCAAAATGACTGAGATTTCTTTGTATTTCTTGTATTAATCACCTCCTAACTCATATTGCCACTCCCCTACACTCCATTACTCCCGCACTTACTGGCTACATTGAATCGCGGGAAATGATGTCCTGACCCCTCGACACATGCACACTTACTGGCCGGCTACATTGAATTGCGGAAAACATAGTCTTGATCCGTCGACATTGCAGAAGAACATCATTTCTTGCGATTCCAATGCTTGTGGTAAATGCGCATACAGCAAAGGCGAAGATGCATTGAATCGCGGGAAATGCTATCTTGCCCGGTCACCGCATGCACAGTTACTGGCTGCAGTGACGAAGCATTGCATGCATACTTACTGGCCGCATTGAATTACGCTTGTGCAGTGTGGATTATTGATTAAATCAGGTTTTATACGATTTATACTGTTTGCCTGCAACTCGGACTTTGCGTAAGTCATATTAAATGTTATGGTCCTTATGTGAGTTTTACTGTCGTATACAAGAGTGTAAATATAATGGGCTGTGGTGCTCCCTCTCATGAATCTGATATTGAGCTTCTAGCCTTTCTTCTCTTTGAGAATAAGAAGCCCCTAATCTTTATTTGCCATGCATTCCCTGTGTGGGACGAGCTATCAGTTAATGGAGTCCTGTAGCTCAATGGTTAGAGCACTCGCTTTGCAAGCGAGAGACCTGAGTTCAATTCCAGGCAGGGCGAAACCTTGGGCAAGTTTCCTTACTCCACACAGAGCCTAATAATAATCCCTCCAAAACCAAAAACAATAATAAATTGGTCATTTTCAATCTACGACTGTTTGTGGGACATTGCTGTGCGCAATTGGCTGCCGCGTTCGCCCACAAATATACAGTCAATTCACTTTACAGTGTGTTCTGTGAAGCGCTTTGGGACGTCCTCCCGACGTGAAAAGCACTATATCAAATGCATTATTATTATTATTATAATGCCTTTCAATGAGTACTGATAGGTGAATAAAAATAACCCTGCCCTCTGATGTCCATCTTTGTCCTTTCTAAAGACAAGTCATGGGTCTGACCTGCTCCCCCAATTTCATCACAGGCTACTGTCTCAACAAAAACATTAAGAGCTGGACCAATATTCTATTACCCAGCAATTCTATGGTGACAAACCCGAAGGTCCCTGCAGGCAGTTGGGGGCCAACCTTTCGAGTTGAGTCGGAATCATATCTGTAACGGTCTTGTTCTAAACTCAACCACATTTTTCAGCGATGGGTTTGTTATTAGCAGTGATAATTATCACAGCCCACCTGATAATTGTCGCCTCCAAGGATAGATTTCAAATTATGGATGTTGAAGGGTTAACTGTTGTCTTTGATTCAATATTGTCAAGATTAGGAAAGCAAAGAAACTACCATATCTCCCACTTGTGTATTTGCAAACTTCAATCCACACTGCTTTCTGTTTTAGATTGCCTTAATGTTGGAGAATCTAAGACGGTTTCAATGGGAATTGACTTCTGTGATTCCACGCAGGCTGCCAACTTCCACTTGTGGTAAGAGCTGCTTGTTTACTGGCTGGTCTGCTTTATGATGGTTTCATCAAAAAATTTCATCAAATAGTGGGTGCAAATATTCTGTTTGCATTCATGAACATAAAGAGAATTAATACAAGCAATTGAGATGGGATTGGATTTGTTTTACTTTGTATCATGTGAATTTTGTATTCATGTTAACTTTGCTTACGCACAGACTATTGTGCATGTTCGCAAACACGCAATGCATTTAATATGTGGCAGTTTATAACACTAGCTGCAAACAGTATTTTGTGCTGGTGACCAGAAGTATCAGTCCAATGCTTTGTCAATTAAAGCTGCGATGATTAAAGTGCCATATTCATACTGGAGTTTTAAGCATAACAAGGACATTATTACCTTGAAGGGGTTCTTCTGCAGTACTACATGGCTATCACTAGAGGAAGCTCTACTGTTTCTCTATCTCACGCAGGGCTTTTAGTGGTGTACACTAGTACTCTGCATTTTAATAATAATCTTTGCATTTGATGTAATGTTTTTCATGTCAGGGACTACATAGGATTTACTGGAAAGTGTAGTAACTGTATGTTTTCTGGCCATGTATTTAACAAGCAATGGCTGGGGCCTAAACAAGTATGTCTACAACCAGATTATCCAGGTTGCTGTACTGGTACCTTAACACAGGCGCATGCTATTTTAGAAATTTAGGATTTCTAAAAGCAAAGTGAAGGTTAATTGTTAGCCAATTGTATTGTATTATAGTTGTATTTTTTTTCAGGTTTATAATAAAGCAGTGAAAACAGTGGAAAAATATAACAACAGTAACAACTTGTATTTATATAGTGTTTTTTACGTCAGGAAATCATTCTAGGGCACAGGACAGTCAAGGGTTTGCACACGAGCTGGGAGTTGGAATCGAAGAGTGGTGGTCGGGTGGGGGTAGGAGGATTATCGAAGGCAAGCTCAAAGAGGAAGATGTTGAGATGGTCCTTGACAGAGGCGAAGGGACTCTTTGATAGAGTTCCAGAGTGTGGGGACGGCAGAAGGCCTGACCGCCGCTGGTGGGGCAGGCAGAGTGGGGGGACATGAAGCAGACCAGTGTCTGCTGAGTGGATGGAGCAGGCAGTTTGGTAAGGTTTCAGTGGTTGCAGAGTTAGGGAGGAGCAAGATCTTCAAGGGCTTTAAAAGTGAGGACGAGAATCTTGAACTCAATTCTCTGGGGGATGGGGGGGCCAGTGAACCCAGGCGATGATGGGGATGATCAGCTCGTGGAGCTTGGTGCAGGAGAGAACACGAGTTGCAGAGTTCTGAATAATCTGCAGCTTGTAGAGGGAAGAGTTGGGAAGTCGGCAAGTAGGGAGTTGGCTTAGTCAAACCTGGATGTAATGAAAGCAAGGATGAGGGATTCAGTGGCCTGAAGGGAGAGGTAGTAGCGGAGGTGGGTAATGTTGTGGAGGTTGGGGAAGGCTGACAAAATGGCACAGATGTGAAGTTTAAAGGACAGTTGAGGGTCGAACAAGACACCAAGGTTCTGTACTTGCTCGGTGAGGTGGAAAGAGCATCCATTCATAGCTGTCAGCATCTGAAGTGAGGAGGCGATGACAGGAGCCAAGCAGAAACAATGGAACATAAATGAAGGCATCAAGAAGCATTATAAGGAATGTGTGTGCAACATAACTATGATCTCTGATTCAATATTTGCCTGCTATATTATTAAATTAATGGAGTTCCAGAGTGTGGGGATGGCAGAAGGCCTGACCGCCGCTGGTGGGGAAGGCAGGGTGGGGGACATGAAGCAGGCTAGTGCCAGCTGTGTGGATGGAGCAGGCAGGTTGGTCCCTCCTCATCGGCCTTCTGAACTCTTCCCTTCACAAGCTGCAGATCATCCAAAACTCTGCAGCTCGTGTACTCTCACACACCAGGCTCCGTGACCCCATCACTCCCACCCTCACCTGACTCCACTGGCTCCCCATCCCCCAGAGGATCGAGTTTAAGATCCTCGTCCTCACCTTTAAGGCTATCCATGGCCTTGCCCCCTCCTCCCTCTGACCTGCTGACTCCCTACCAACCTGCCCGCTCCCTCCGTTCATCAGGCTTCGGCCTGCTCCATGTCTCCCGCCCGACCATTGGTGACCGGGCTTTCAGCCTCTCTCCCCCCATGCTCTGGAACTCCATCCCACGGTCCCTTCGCCTCGCTTCCTCCCTTGCCTCCTTCGAGGCCGGTCTCAAGACCTTTCTCTTCGACCATGCCTTTGGTCTCCCTCCCACCTCTCTGCCTTCGCTCCCCCCTACACCATCTCTCTCCCATGCTCGGGCTCCAACATCTGACTGTTCAGCGCTTTGGGACGTCTTCCCAACGTGAAAGGGGCTCTATAAATGTAATTTGGTTGTTGTTGTAATAATGAACTCTACTACCAGGCCTTTGCCATGTTGGAAAGCATGTTGAATTGCATCAAATTGGGCTGTGTGGTTACCTCATGGACATGAACAAAGTGGCAGATTTCCACAGTGGAGGAGTCTTGTTGGAATGAGTTGTCTCTCTACTGTGGCAATGAGTTATTTTTCCAACATATGGAGCTATCTGGAGAAGCACATCATGAGAAAAAATACAGTCAATTCACTTTACAGTATATCCTGTGAAGTGCTTTGAGACTTCTCGAAGATGTGATAAGGCACTATATCAAATGCGTGGATTATTGTTATTATGACCGTAATCTGGATCAGGTAGTACTCAAACTTCTGCTTTAGTTTCTAAAGTGATGTGGCAACAGCCTTATGTGGCAACTGATCTCTTGGTGAGAGAAATTTATTTCCACTTAAAGCAAGAATCTCTCACAAGATTCCAGTGGGTGAATAACCTGCCATTCTCAAACCTTCTGTGTCTAATTTTTGCCTGGGTCCTCTGTCTGAGGGGATTTCTGACTGAGCTAGATTGAGATCTGGCACCTCAACCACCACAGCTTCTGACAGGTACCATAACTTTTGAAAAGCTTGGTTTGGAACGAGCGTTCAAACAATTGATTACAATATCCCTCCATCCATTGTATAGTTGATTGTGTTATATCAGGACATTGGTACTGATATACCGGATTATTGTATTAGGTTATATATACTCGTCCATGTTGTGTTACATAGTGGATGGAACCTTTTGAAAGCTACCACCGTCTAATACTGGACCACATGAAGTCTAAGTTACATGAAGTTACTCCATTGAGATGGTGGTAATTGGTTGATCAAGTATTTGTTTGATTAAACTGAGACGTTTTCACCATCGTTCCCCTCTTAGATTGTCCTTTGGGAAGGGGAAGAATTCTGGAATTAGTGCACAATAAAATGATTGAACTTGGGCTTGAGAGAACAATTTTGAGATATGAATGAAACCAGAAAAGATTGAGAAATAAAGGTTACTTGCTTCTGTTCTAGTATAATGTGCTTTGTTTTCTTTTGAAATTAGAACAACTATTATTCTAGAATAGTGGGTGTTCAAAAATGCTTTAAAACACTAATATACTGTACTTAAATCTAAACCCTGTGAGCAATAAGTTTACAGTGAATTGGGAAGCTTTCATACATTTTCAATTGCACTTTAACAATCTTACTGAAGTATCTCAATAGCTCAAGTAAATTATACACCAACCAGACTATCTTGTGAGTTTTTTATTTTCCACATTGAGGGTATTAATTGTACTAATTTATCCCATATTTGTAGTATTCATTTTACATTCTCTCTCCCATATTAAAGGTATTAATTTTTGAACTGCTCAACTCAGGTGTAGTTGTACTCTAAGATAGAATCCAATCTAAGTTTTATCTGAGTGAACTAAATTCTGAAGAGTGTTTACCAAAACATCAAAGACTACACTGGAAGGCAGTTAGTTTAAAGAAAAGGCTCAGCATGGGAATTATTTTTAATGTCCATTTTTGGAAAAGTCTACAAAATGCAAATTTTCTACAGAAACCTGTCTTTTCAGATCCTATCGCACACTTATAACCATTGGTTAATCTATGACCAATAGAAAAAACTGAAATAACTTGCAGCATTCTCATTTTTAGTTTAAAGTTAACGATTTGGAGGGGATCTCCTATTGAAATAACCGTAAATTCTATTTTAAAGTAGCTGCTTATCTCTGAATACATCTGCTCATCATGTTTGAGTCCTGCTTCCTCCAAAGGAGTATTGAATCTCTCAACAAATTCAATTGATCTTTTACCAGTGTAATCACAATTACTCACCTCCTTAATTGGCCTGCCCGAAATCAGAAAATGGAAACTGATCGGAGGCGTTCCGATCAATAGATTCAGAGCAATACAAGCGAGGACAGGGAGATGGAGGTAATAGCGAGATCAATCGGCCAGAGGTGTCAATCATTGTATGTGGTTTTGCATGACAAGCGTTTTGCTCGTCTCTGGTGGAATCTCTCTTACAATGTGTGGACCACCTCAGATCTAGAAAGAAATAATTTCCCAATTCCTGAGAATGGATGTCACTGTATAATACCAGCATCTGAAATGTTTATAAAATACAGTCACTACACTTTACAATATATCCTGTGGAACACTTTTATTGTTAAAGATTCAATATCAAATGCAAGGATTGTTGTTATTATTAACCCGTTAAATGCAAATTTTGTATCTACACTGATTACTGGAATTGCCCAATCTGTGTTTTCCTACCCTGTTCACAGTTTTGAATTGCATCCCATTTAAATGTTGGTGAATTTAGTATAGCTCAGATCCTTGCACGGAACTGGGGTGTGCGAAGATCACATCCAGCACTCTGTTTGAAAATGGCTAATTAGATGAAAATGTAATATTGGACTAGTTTAAAATTATAGACAGCATTTGAAAATGACTGATTGATAGGATGAAACTATAGTTTGGGACGAGGCAAAATTATAGATACTTAAATATGAAATGTTGAAAGCAGTTCATCATTGACACATTTCAGTCTAACCAAGTAGGTTTTTCAGTCAGTATGCAAATGAGAGCAAAATGGAGCAATAACAGCTTGATGTGGTATTAATATATATTGCACATATTAAACTTGATTGTACTTGATTCATGAGCCTTTTATTTTTAATATTTTTCAGCACACAAAATGATCAGTTCAGTGTCGCCATCCAACCTCCGGTGGGAGAGCTGCTGCTACCGGTCACCACATCCGAGAAAGATTTCAGGAAAGAACAAGGTGAGGCAGCTGACTTTTAATCTGACCTCTGCTCAAACTGAGTCTGATCTTTTTCTTCATTGAGTGAGAATAAAACTACTGACTTCATAACCAGGTTACAGTACTATGCACAGGAATGCTTTGAAAAGCATTTTCAGTAATTATCTGTTGTTATCCAATTGTCGGACTAGCTACAGTTCCATCCCAATTGGCAATAGTTGGTTAACATTAGGTTTTGTTGCACTAATCTGCTCAGTCTTTTTTTCCTAGGAACGAGTCACTTGTTTTGTGGCTTCTCGCAATCAATAATGTCAGTTTAGGGGAATAGAATGCTTTTCCACTTTTGATGCATGTTGTCATTCAGGTCAAGAATAAAACATTAGAATAAAACATTCTCTTCTCCCCATAGATTGAATGCACGTCTCTGGATCTAAAATCCCTAGTGATAAAGGTCTTACCTTACCTACATGCAGAGTTTAGGCAAATACAATTTTGATATTTATCTATTATTGATTAATTTATATGCTAGCCCTTTCATTCCCCCAACAATCTACTTTAACCTCAGTCTTAGAAGAGGTTCCACCAGCAAAAGGAAACTCACTACTCCACCAGTTCTCTTCCTTATTCCTATTTATCAGCTTCTTTTTGTGGATTTTACTTTGTTAAACAAAAAAAATCAGTTGGTTGACACTGTCTCATTCGAGTGCTCTCACAATACTTCTGCCTTTCAGTGCATCTTTGTGCATAAAGACTTCATGGTAAAATAGGAGGTATCAGTCAGATTATCCACTTGCAGTAGAATTTAAGCACAATGTAAAATCCTACGTTCTTCCTTAAAACCATTTGTTCCCCACAAACGGCTCTGTGTTAGTGTGTCTCTCCTGTGTGTGTGTCTCTGTCTGTATGGCTCTCTGTCTTGTGTTCTCTCCTCACTCTGTGTCTATGAGTGTGAATGTATGTATGTGTGTGTGTTTCTGTGGTTTTGTTAAAGAAAGCATTAATTTTTTTGCAACAATCTAATGTGTTATTTCTTCATGTTTAGTTTTGATCAATAAAGTGAAAAAATGTCGGTTGGCAGTAAAATGTGCATCAATTGCACCAATCAACTCCCTGCAATTTTACACAAAATTTGTCAAATTACCCCACAATTTTGGGTGAATATTTCCACAATTTTCTATTGGCTCAAGACACTGACTTTTGGTGCATCTGCAACATTATTTGAGTTAAAACTGATCAATACTTAATACCATATGCTATTTAGCCTATTTTATTTAGCAGTGTTCAGTGATGTTTAATTTTAGAAATCTAGATTAAAAATTTAATTAAGGCTTCACTGCTGTGTCCTTATTTTACTCTTAAAAATGCTCACAGGACGCCGAGCCTCACAATTTGTTTCTGTTGTGACTGAATGGTCTGAACTGACTGAATCCAGTATTTGTTCGAATTTTGCTTTTCATTTATACAGGGTCGTTGTCAAGACTACAGTAATTTAAGGCAACATTAATGGTTTGTCAGACTGTCTGAGTATCGATGAAACTTTGAGGTACAGATATATCCTCATTGCTGTGAGCTAAAGTCCTAATGCATATTCAGCCTTAGCCGGACAAGTACTGTGAAGTGTGTAGTGGTAGTAGTGAGATCCATGGTTAGAATTACCTACTTTTATAGCCTCTTGGATGAACTTTAGTTCCAGACCTAACACTAATTGATTTTGGGGGAATGAAGGAAGGACCAACATAAAAATTAATTAATAATAAATAAATATAAAAAATAAATGAAATTCTATTTGCCAAAACTCTGCATGTTAGGTAAGGCAAGATCTTTAACACAAGGGTGTGGGGTTTTAGATCCAGTGACGTGCATTCAATCTGTCACAGCTGACATGAGGACCAGTTTTTCAATCAGCCAGTTTTGTCCAAGGGTTGGTTGCATTCCCCAATATGTCAGCAGGCTGGACAATCCAGAATGCTAGATAGCATGAAGTAGGTTTTAATGAAGGGGTGGGGGGGAGAAAATGGAAATGTTCGAGATAATTTTTTCTCCTTCCATTTCCTCTGCATGCTTGACTAATGGAAAAGCTAAAACTGCATTATCTTGGTTTATTTTCTGTGAATCTCCAGAATTCAAGGGCGATGCATTGCAACAAAAAGTCTAACCTATTTCTTACAAATAATACCAAGATTAAACTAAGTTTTGGAATGCTAGACATTGAACAGCTTTAAATAACATTGAAATATGTTTCATAGAATCATGAAACTTTACAGCACTGAAGGTCACTTAGCCTATAATCTGTACTCGTGTTAGCTTCTCCACCGGAGCTATCAACTCTAATTTGCTTCCCCTGCTCTTTTGCAATAGCCTGTAATATTATTTTTCTTCAATTTGCTTGTCCAGTTCACTTTTAAATGCTGTTATTGATTCAAAAGCCATTTATGGTAATGCATTCTACATTCTAGAAACATTTGCTATGAAACATTTCTCCCCTTTTTTCTTCTGGTGATGATCTTAAATCATATCCTCTTTGTTACTGGCTCATCTATCAGTGAAGGCAGTGGTCTCTCTATTTTCCTTTTCAAAACAATCATAATTGTGCTTGCATTGAAAAAATGTCATGCACCACACCAGCATATAGTTGCATGTATACCTTGACGAAAGTATTTATCAGATTCCCTTTTAAATGCTACTCTGGAATGTCGCTGACTTAAGATTTGTTTGTGTTTTGAGTTTACTTTCACATGGCTGTTAAATGATGTGATTTAAGTTTAGAAAAACTGCATTGGTCTAGAGATGCAAAGTTTAAAAGCTGGATGCTGGTAAAAGCATATGGAGTATCTGATGGATCATTTCTCTAATATTGCCTTTCTTGCTGTTCTTGCCCTTCTGCTGACAAAAGCCTGTCTTTGTGCTTTCCACTACTTCTGCAATGACAGGTGAGTGCATGTCCAGCTGAAGTGGCTGCTTTATTAACAACTATCCATTGCTTTATTGTTCTTTTACCTTCCAAACCTAAGCAAATGTTGCTGCTAAAATTGCCTTTTCTGTTGGTGTTCTCTTCCTGTGCACCTTGGGTTTGGTTACTTTTTGTTTGCTTTTGTTGGAACTGAACCATTTTCCTGATTAGTCAAACAGAACCATCAGTTCACAGAAGAAGTGCTCACTGAGAATTAAAGTAAGCCTCACTGGAGTTCTTGCCAAAATTCCTTTTTCTTTCGCTATTTTCCCTCTATGGTTGTTGATTCTTTCTGTGAGTAAATGTGGCAGCTATGTGCTATGTTTAATCGACCAGAAAGGTTACTCTGAATAAGGTTTTTTGAAAAGTTATGTTTTTATGCAATATTTCTAATGCAGAGCCCCACTGAGTGGAAGTCAATCTTACTCTGAAGGGATATGTCGAGATTTCAGATTTGATATCAAAAGAAATCGCTGATAAATTAATCTTGTCTTTCTTTGTTTTTCTTTGACCAGTTTCAACAATTATTTTGCTCACTCATTAGATCAAGTCCGTGCCATGCTCCCACTTGTGAGCAGTGTAATTATAGGTGGTTGATGCTGTTTAGTAGGAAAGCTATGTGCTGAAACAGTACTGAGATGGAAAAGATTAATATGGTATGTAATGTAAGGGCAGTGCATTCTGAATAAATGGGTCCTGGTTTGAAACTGGATATCCCTATTTACCATTCTTACTGTGTTTCACTGCATGCAGTAAATATCCTGGTCCAAACGTAACATTATTGACAAATTAATTATTAATTTATTAGTATTTGACTCCGTTACATTTACAGCTTCAGTGATTTTTTTTCCATTTCTTTCAAGTAAATGAGAAAAGATTGAAGCTTTCTAAGGCCAAAAATGGTCACTAAGTATTTTTAAATGAGTTGGAATTTTTAAATCTAGTCTGGAAATCACAATAAATTGCAAAGTGTCTCTGCAGGAAGAAATGAATTGGGTATTGAAGGCGAGGGTGTTGTGATGTTTAATTTATCTCTGGTCCTGCAGAGAACTGACTCAAAAAGACTGTCACAGCTAAGGCCTGATTGTCAGCAAGAGTGAATTGCAGCATTGGTAAGAACATTGTTTAACTTCACGTGTCAAGGATATCAGGACTGGACAAAACATGCTGCTCAATATGCTATAACTACTACAACTACATCTGTGCATGTATCATATATTATGTTCCACACAATAGTCATGGACATAGCAATATCTCAATTTTGGATTATAGTGACACCCCATCATCATAACAATAGATAAGTCAGTTTCCACATTGCAGCAGCATAACGTTATTTGTGTTTAGTTTTGTCGGGCAATGAGGTTCAATTTTCAAGATTGTTAAATGTGTTTGGCCATATCTACCTTTGTGATGTTTATGGCAAGATAGGAATCTTACATTTCCAGTATAAAGTCTATGATTGGATGACAGTACAAACATTAAAATAAGAATGTACAGAACAGAAACAGATCACTCGGTCCAACCAGCCCATGTAAATGTTTATACTCTGAGTCTCCGTCAGTACTATAAATTTTCGATCACTGACATATTAATCAGTGTCTTTGCAGGGTGGTTTCTGCAGGGTGGTGATCGAGTCTCCAGAGTTCACCTTTGGTAAACCTTCCTTTGTTTGCAATTTGTTGGCAATTGGCGTCTTGCACTGACTTTTAGTTGGCATTTCAGTATTACTATTGTTACATTATACACCTCAGCTCCCGCTATATATGTTTTATTTTGACAGTACTATTGGATTAATTGTTTAATTGCAGTATTACATATTACTCACTAAACTTCGAACAGTAATACGCTGTAGGTTCACCTTTGGCATCACTTTAAGTAATGCTTAAATATTAATCCGATTCGAGAGAGTACTCACTGTGTAGCCCCAGATGTTACTTCTGCAAGGGATTGGAGAACAATACATAACATTGTTCATATTTTGATGTCATTACATATTGAACCGTTGGTATTGTTTTTTTTCCCAAATTGACTGTTTGCTAAATAACAAGCAGAGGTGAAGAGATGGGGCTGA